AGTCTCAACTCTGGAGTTTTTCACCCCACTCTGGGGTTCCAAGATCTCCGCATACAGGAGCGAATGATTCTTTTAAACGCCAGTGACCCTCTCCTGTTACGTAGAATCTCTCATCTCTGTGTGTGTGCGCGTGCGCGGTGGTGGGGCTAGGGGAAAGGGCACTGGAGAGGTGAGGGGTCAAGGTCATAAAACCCAAAGACACCACGGTTAGAAGAGACCCCCTCCTTCCATTCCTCTGAGTGGGGGGCAGCATCAAGTTTTCAGAACAGTGGAAATAGCCCCCAGAGTCTTCTATCCCTGCCTGCCTCAGCCTCTCTCCAGACCCGTCAGACCCGTCAGAGTGGGCCTGGGCCCCGGCCCGCTCTCCCCTGCCCCGTGGATCTCCTCAGGAGCAAGGCAACCCTTCCGAGGCTACACACAGACGACACGCAGGACCTGCTCAAACCATTCCTTCCTAGCGAGGAGAGGCCAGAGCCTTCCAGCCGGCGGAGTTTGACAGACAATCTGTCTTCATTTCTCAATGTCCCCTAAGAAGAGCCAATCTGCTGCACTCTGGCCAGAACATTTCCATGGAAATGAAATGATGAAATCCGACTACAACGTCAGACTCTAATATCTAACAAAGAACAGGGCAGACACAGTGAGAGAAGGAACGCCCGGGAAACTTTCTTCTGGCTACTCAACCCCAAAGCTGCCCTTCCTGCGTTTCCTTGGAAACGACAGATGCCCTCCGCGGGTGTGAAGATCACCCGGGCCGGGAAAGAGACTGCTCACAGCCAGCACACAACGTTTCCCCATCCGCTGGCCTTCAAACCTGCTGAAGCGCGCATTTCAGAAAGGAAATAGAGCAGAGGCAAATTTCCCAGCCACGTGAAAACTGAGAGCGAGACGCTTGCAGCCCCAGAGAATCCTGATCTCCGCTGCCCTTTGTCTCCCACTGCCCTTCCCCCTCAGCACCAGGGGAGGACTTCCTCCAAGCTCGAGGTGGTCCCCTCCCTTCCCCGGAACTCTGTCTCAGACCAGCCCTGAGGAGTGGGAGGTTTCCCTGTGTTGGGGGAGGGAGCCGAGGGGAAGGGGAGGCGGGAGGGGTCTAATGCCCTGTGCTTTTAAGTGGGAGAAATAATAATAGAAATAGCTGACATTTTAAAAGAATGTACCAAGCCTCAGGCACTGAGTGAAGCACTTTATATGCACTTAAAAAAAGTTAATTCCTATGACTGGGTCTATTATCCCCATTTGACAAATGAGGAAATTGAGGCTGGTTTCTCCTAAAAAAAACAAACAAACAAAAAACAAATGCCAACGACCAAAACACAACGCCTTCCCAGGTCAACACTGGAATGGACACGGCCCTTGGAACTCAGAATGCCTCATATTATTATTTGATAAAGCCTGGTTGGATACATGCTTCCTTGGAATGGGGCATCCATGGAACCAGGACACAAAGGGATGGAGGGTCAGCTTCCCAGAGCACCGAGGGCCTGACCCCGGAGGCAAATGTCATCACCGCATCTGTGATGCTCAGAGGTGAATCAGTGGCTGGGACAGATTCTGCTTGGCCCAGCTCCTCCTCTCTTCCTGTCCCCCCAGGCCCAGGAGTGGGGGGAGGGCCCCATCCCTTCCCCGCCCAGAGACTTTCAGCCTCTCCCCTTCCCATCTGGCTGCACCGTGGAGAGAGTGGTGGCTTGGGCTGTCTCAGTTTCCAAGGGGATGGGTGATTTATGTCTTTTATTCAGCAAACAGCTTTGTACAGAATGGATACGACAGGCTGAATGTCACCGGCGGGGGCGGGGGCGCGTGCAGAATCCCAGTGAAGCCGTCCCGGCCTGGACACACGGCACTGGGTGACTGTCACTGTGTGTTTTCTCTGGTGGGAGTTAGGAAGAGGCAGTGGATCCTGAAAGGTTCCGAGAGAGCTGGCTTGAGTGGCAGGGAGATACCAAAAACCCCAGTGTCTTGCTGCCCTGCCAGTGCCTGTCTCTTCCTGCTTCTTCATCCTCTCCAGGCACCTCGCAGCAGACAGACCAGGCCGTCGGCGCGCTGCAGACCTGGGGGAGGAGGGCTCCTTTCCGTGGAGCTGCCACGCGCAGGCCGTCTGCTGGGGCCTCAGAGCCCGGGGCCTGCATGGCTGCAGGACACAGCACGAGGGACTGAGGCGTTCACTGTGGCAGAATTGGGGCTCAGCTCTGTACTCGACGCCCCCTAAGCCCACAGTGCCCACTGGAGGCTCGAGGGCCCCTCACTCTCTTTCCACGTTCCTCCTCGCATCTCTCCCCGTTGAGACCTGGGTCTATAACTTCCCTGAGGCCACGAGCCAGGCCTGTTCCTCTCCCCGCGCACCCCGCCCCGACACGTACACACGTGGGATGCCCAGTGCAGCCCTATTCCCAGCATACAGTAGGCACTCAATATTTGCTGAATGAGTGGTGAATGGCCATCTCGCTCCCCCGTGAACACTGGCACCCCAGCCCCGTCCTGCAGCCTGAGGGCTGCTCTGGGCAGCTCTGGCAGGATGACAGAGCTTGTTCAGGGCAAATGATTTTGCATGACGTCAGGGTGCTACAAACGCACTAAGGATTAGGAAAGACGATACATTCACTGGCGCTGGAGGGACCTCTGAGATCACACAGCTCAACCCTCTCTCTCTGCAGATGAGGAAGCCTGGAGAAGTGACTTGCAAACGCTCCAGAGCGTGTCAGGAGCAGAGCAGGGGCCAGAGCCGGACTCTCGGGTCCAGCCACCTCTCCTGCCCGCACACTGCCTTCTCATCCAAGCCTGAGCCCGCTCAGCCGCGAGCCCTAGACTCCAGCCCACCTCCCCTCTCGGCACAGGCGGCAGCGGCCGGTCTGCATCTCCAGCCCACACAATCGCCCAGGCAGGATGTGGAAATTAGTCTCCATTGTGCTGCTCAGCACACCCCGGGCTGCAGAAACACCGTGTGTTCCCAGAGCTACAGATCAACAGGGGCCTAGCAGGTCAGGATTCCGGGGCCAGGCCACATGGGGTCTGGAAAGGCAGAAGAGAACAGACGAGGCAGTCAGGGCCTGGGAGTGAAGCAGTCACCCCTGCCCCAGAGCAGATGGACAAAGCCGGGTCACCCAGGGGGTGTGGGGCAGCAGGAAGGAATGAAGCCATCGGGCACAGCAACTCTACTCCTTCGCCAGTGGAAAGGGGACAAAGGCAAATGAAAAGTTCATGCCGGGGCTTCCCTGGTGGCACAGTGGTTGAGAGTCCGCCTGCCGATGCAGGGGACGCGGGTTCGTGCCCAGGTCCGGGAAGATCCCACATGCCGCGGAGCAGCTGGGCCCGTGAGCCATGGCCACTGAGCCTGTGCGTCCGGAGCCTGTGCTCTGCAACAGGAGAGGCCACGGCAGTGAGAGGCCCGCATACCGCAAAAAAAAAAAAAAAAAAAAAAGTTCATGCCGGACAGATGAACCAGATAGAGGAAAACAGGAAAGGAAGGAGACGGAACACTTGATCTTTCTCCTCTTCTGCCATTTCCTCAAGGCATCCCCTCGGGGCACCCACACAGCAGGGGTGGTGCGATGGGGAAGAGGAGCCAGAGGGAGAGGGGGAAGGTAAAGAAATGCTGTCCATTTAGGGGTTTAGGCACTCAGAACACCAGCTCTGGGAGGAAGAGCTGATTGCCCAAAGCCACCGAGAGTCAGAGGCAGGAGCTGGCTTCTGTCAACTAAGGGCCATCAGGGATTTCACGGTCCCTTGAAAGGGTCCAAGCCCCCTCTCTTCTGACTGCACTCAGGTAACAGCTATCCCGTCATGAATTTAGGAATGTGACAGGGATTCCCGAGCACAGCAGATCTCCCCTCCTAACCCAGCCCCTCCCACCTGCAGGCACGGAAATGCAGGCCCAGAGAGCAGACACAGCAGCGGGGCTGCTCCATATAGAGAAGCCAGGTGTCTGAGTCCCACCCAGGGGACACTGACAGGGACTCCGCGCTTCTACGCCCTGAAGCAGGAGCCCCCAGCCCTCTGTAGCCCTTGCTGCTTCAAGAGCAAGTACAAAAGGACGAGGTTCTCCCAGGACTCCTGCAGACCATACTCAAGGAGAAGGGGGTGGGGAGGGCTCCTTACAGAATGGTGACCTTCGAGAAGGAAGTGAGCTTGGGGCGGGGGCCCAGCAGAAGAGAGGAGGGGCATCGGGAGAGGCGTGGGGAGAGACGGGTCGGAGCAGACTTCACGGAGCCTCGCCCCCTCTCTGCCAGAGGAGAGGGGGCTCCAAGGCCCTGCCCCTCCACCCCAGGGAATGCTCCCCCTGCCCTGGGGCTCGCCTACCTAGCCACAGCGCCACACCCACGAAGCAGGGCGCTATAGCAAAGGCGGCCCCCTCACCGCCAAATCCCCCACCTCCTGGACTTCAACCTTGGTGGTCAGTCTACCTTTACGGAATCATAGTACTTTCTGGCTCTAAAACCCCTCAGTCTAACCCCTTCTTTTTCTGCCTCATGTTTCCCCCACGATATAAAGCGGACACTCAGGGGCTGGGGGCTGGACGGGTGGCAGGAGAGGGTGCTGAAGGGCCGGTCCCCCAGGCGGAGATGGCCCCAGAGCTGACGGCCTTCTTTTTTCAGGTTCACTCTCATGCGTTTTGGTCTCCCTTGACCATTTCTGTGCCAGCCCCAGCCACGCGCATCCCCAGCGCCAGCCGCGTCCCCATCCACAGCGCCTACAATGCCTACGCGGAGGAGCACCTTGGCTCAGTAAGCGGCAGAATGACTGGAGGGGAGGCAGGTGATTGGCTAAGGACCATGGGGATGCTGGCTCCTGGACCAATCAGGAAGCCACCAGGACTGGAGCCAGGACTTCTGGGAATCCACCCAGACTTTAGAGGTCCTGTCCTCCCCGTGGCCTTCCCCAGCTGAGGTCCCAGGCCGCCCAGGAGATCCGGGAGGGTGGGCCAGGAGGGCGGGGAGGAGCCCGAGGCGGGGCTCGAGGGAGGGTGGGCCAGGAGGGCGGGGAGGAGCCCGAGGCGGGGCACTCACTCGAGCACGTCGCGGTTGAACTGCTTCTTGCTGTTGCCCAGGAACTCTCCGATCATCTGGCGGCTCAGGCCCTTACGCTGGAGCAGGAAATGGGCCACTCCGATGGGCGTGTCGGGGATGAAGCCTCGAGAGATCAGGAACTGGATGCCCTTGTCCGGGTTTCTGGGGGTGGGGTGGGGAGGGGAGGAGGGGTAGAGAGTGAGGCAAGTCTCCCCATGACGCCTTTCCTCCCTTTCTTCGTGCCTAGGGAACCCACAAAAGTGCCTGGAGGTCCTTGGGCAGCATTCCCAGGAAATGTCAGCATTCCTTCCACTGCAGAGGGGCTCCCCTTAAAAAGCCCCTCTCGCCACGTTCTCCTGAACCTCCCTGCACAGGAGTGAAGATGGTGCGGGACTGGGGAGGTCTGGCCAAGTAGATTCCAGAGCAGGTGGAGAGGTGTCCCTTCCGTCTTCCTGCCTCAGTCCCACTGGATCTGACCCTGAGGTCCCCAAGCCCTTCCTCCCACCTGTATCCTGCTGTCTACACTCAGGACCCACGCTCGAACCGGGAGGGCAGAGGAGACTGGGAAATGGAGGTGGGATCGCCTACCACACCGCTATTCCCTGTGTGTGGCAGACACAAGGAAGACCCAGCTCTTCAGGGTTGACTTTCCCAGGCTTGAGTCTGTGTGTGGGTGTGGGTGTGAGTGCTGTGTCTTAAGGCCCATGTGCTCCCAGCTTGGTCTGCAAATCCATGCTGCTCCCTGAGCTGAAGCTTACCGGTACAGGAGAAGATAAGTACAGAAATAGAGGCTAAGCCTTTAGACCCTTTTATAACACGTTGACATTTTCAGGACAACCAAGCATGTGACTGTTTCTCTAGCAACTCATTTTAATTGTATTTTACAGAAGTGTCAGCCCACAACATATTGGGTAAAAACCCAAACTGGTCCTTCACTATAGATAATTTGAGAACCACTGTCTTGTGGGATCCAGGTACGTGTGTGTGTGCAGAAGCGAGGGTAGGGCTGTGCTCACCAGGGTGGCAGCCTGAGGTACACGAAGGAGCGATGGGAGTCACACAGGTCTGACTTCACCCGGCTCTGCCGCTTACTAGCTGTTTCACAGGGCTCAGCTCACCTGTGTGAGCCTGTTTCCTGGTCTGTAAAATGGCATAATGATGCTCTCTCTAGAACTTGTTAGGAAATCTGCAAATGTTTTATGTCAGGTGAGCTATGAACGGTAGCTATTCCCCCTAGAATAGAAGCTGCTTGAGACCGGGGGATGTGTTTTCCTCATCTTTGTGGTTTCCGTGCCAAGCACTCCAAACATAACTTCTGAATGAGTAAATGAACACACAGGTGAATGGTTTCTGCTCAGTCCTCATTGATTAGGCAGGAGGGATGCCGTGTTTCCCGGCTCAGGGCTATGAAGGAAGGGGTGAGTGGAGGGTGGAGACGAGTGCCTCATGTACTTGAAATCTCCACAGGACGGGCAGGTGTGTTTCCTCTGCTTGCCACCAGCTGTATACCTCTTGGTTGCAAGGAAGTTCTGGCTGGGGGCTCTGAGCTATGGTGGTTGTTCATTTCTCCGCTCCCACGCCCCTGTTCTCTTCTGCTTCACCTCTGCTTGCTTGACACTGCCCTCCTATCCGCCCCCCGCACCCCCATTCCTTGCGCCAGGTCTCTGCTCCCCCCACCCTTTCCTCCTTTGGTCACTGCCTCTTCTCTCCGTGTCATCAACCCCATGAGATTGATACTCCCTGCTTTCTTAACTTCATGTCCTACCCGAATGCTTTCTGCCCAAGCCTTATACTACTTGTACTATTATTTACTTAATAGTGCATTTTCTCTGAAATTTTCTCACTTTTCAAAGCCTAGCTTCATCTAGCAGTACTAGTGGTTAAAGCATAGGTTTGAGGTGTTTTAACCCTAATCTTTAACATAAATTCTTATCAATTAAAAATAAAATGAGGGGCTTCCCTGGTGGCGCAGTGGTTGAGGGTCCGCCTGCTGATGCAGGGGACGCGGGTTCGTGCCCTGGTCCGGGAAGATCCCACATGCCGCGGAGCGGCTGGGCCCGTGAGCCATGGGCGCTGAGCCTGCGCGTCCGGAGCCTGTGCTCCACAACGGGAGAGGCCACAACAGTGAGAGGCTCGTGTACCGCAAAAATAAATAAATAAATAAAAATAAAATGAGTATTCCCACACTATCTCAAGGATCAGGCGTGGCCCAGAGGCCACCTGGGAGGACCCTGGGACGATTCGGTCCATTCCCGGGCCCGCTGCTCACCCGTAAGTGCAGCCCCTGCCCCGCACCTCCTGGAACTTACATGTTGAAGAGGTTGAGGCCGATGCGGTAGAGCCGCTTGCGCAGGGTGTCGGTGGAGAGCGTGGGAGACTTGCAGCTGGCCGGGTTCTCGCAGTGGTAGCGCGGCAGGCTCAGGATCATGGCCTGCAGGGCCTCCTTGGAGGCCGAGGCCGACGCTGCCGATTTGGTGGACGCGCTGCTGCTGCTCAGCTGCTCCGAGCTGTCGCCGGCCTCGGCCTCCGCCCCTTTCCCCGCCTCCTCGGCCTCCTCCTCTCCGTCTTCCTCCTCCTCCGCCGCCGGCACCGCGGCTCCCGGCGGGCTGGCGCGCAGGGCCCCGTCGGCTCCCGCCTCTGCGCTCGCGCCCTCGGCGGGCACGTCCTCCTGGCCGGCGCTGGGGGCCTCCAGGGCCTCCTGCCCGCCGGCCTCGTCCTGCTCGGCCTTGCCCGCCGCGGACTCTGCAGGGGCTGAGGCCGTCGGCGCGCCCAGGCAGTTGGCCACGGACAGAGCCGTAGAGGAGGAGACGGAGATGTTCCGGCTGGCGATCTGCACGGTGACGTCCCGGAAGGCCATCATGAGGGTGCTGCCGTGGCCCTGGGGCGGGCCGGCGGGCTCGGTGGGCTCGGCCCAGTCCCCCGAGTGGGCGCCCTCGGGCTCCCGCGCCTCGGTGTCCAGGCCCGGCGGCCCCGTGCCCGCGCGCAGGGCCCTGTGGACCTGGTAAGCGCCGCTCTCCTGCAGGGAGCACACGGTCTTGAGGCTCCAGGTGCTGAGGGCGTCGTCGATGGACTTGGCCAGGGACTGCACCTGCTCGGTGAAGGAGTCCTCCAGTTCGGTGAGTGTGCCCGCGATGGTGGGCGGCAGGGAGGGCGAGCGCGCCAGCGGCAGCCCCGAGAGGCCGCAGCCCTCCAGGAGCGCCCTCTCGGCCGCCAGGCTCTCGGCCGTGGGCGCGCGCGCCTTGCGCAGGGAGATGCGCCGCGGCAGGCGGCTCTCCAGGAGCGAGTTGCGGATCTTTTCGAAGTTCTTGCTGAGCTGGTACTGACGGAAGGCGGTTTGGATGGTGCAAGCGGCGCGCCGGGACACCAGGTGGCCCCCGTACTTGTGTTCTAGCATTTCAATCTGCAGCGAAGACAAAGAGGCGCGAGCGCAGTTAGGGAAGGGGTGTGACAGTCCTTGAGAAAGACGGCGGCGGCGGCTGTCGACTGGGGCAGGGGTTGAGCTGCTAAACTTCGGCGGGGGCGCGGGAAGGCGCAGCTTCGGGGCACTGAGGGGCTCATGTCTGAAAACCCTAGCACGCCATGGCCTGAGATGCCAGGGCTCCCAGAGGTGTGGGATGTAGGACTGGATTCCGGGATTGGTGATGCCAGGGGCAGGGGACGGACGAGGTGCGAATGGTAGGGGGCGGTTATTTCCAAATGTTCATATCAGAGATGCATACGGTGGAGTTCATGGCTGAAATGCACGACATCCTGAATTTGTATTAAAATACTCCATCAAAAGAAGTGGGAGGGCTAGATGAAACTATTAATAAAACTTGTTAGGGCTGGGTGGTGGTTAAATGGGAGTTTATTACACTATTCTTTCTACTTTTGTGGGGGTTTTTTGTTTTGTTTTGTTTTGTTTTTGCTGTACGCGGGGCTCTCACTGCCGTGGCCTCTCCCGCCGCGGAGCACAGGCTCCGGACGCGCAGGCCCAGCGGCCATGGCCCACCGGCCCAGCCGCTCCGCGGCATGTGGGATCCTCCCAGACCGGGGCACGAACCCATGTCCCCTGCATCGGCAGGCGGACCCTCAACCACTGCGCCACCAGGGAAGCCCTTGTGTGTATTTTTAAATAATAGAAAATTGAAAATTAAATAGAAAGGCTAAAAAAAACATCGCTGCTACTCCTGTACACCTGCTTTCTTTCTCAGCATTCGTGTCATGCATTGGGGTAGTTTCCTGTTCCTGGGAGCCTCATAAGGGTTGGGATTGGGGTTGGATCATCTCTGTGTTCCCAGCATCCGGCCCAAGGACTGGCACAGGGTAGAGCTCAATAAATGTGAATTTCATAAAAAGACAGGTGGGTGATGGATGGATGTTTCAATAAGGGGAGTCCCTCCAGGCTACCCTGCTCCACAATTCCAGCCACCTCTGTTTCCAGCAATGGGAGCTGTTACAACCAGGGCAGGGCTTGGTGGGGCTGGTTGGCAGGGCCCGGGGTGGGGACGGCACTGCCTCATCTGGGCGGATGTGAACACAGGAAAACTTCTGGCACTGGCCAGTCTGCCTTCAGGGCCCTTCCTCCCCTCCTCTTAGCTCTGTCCCCCATCTGTGGTCTTTTCTCCTCCTTGGGTTGCTAAGCTCTCACTTTTTCTCTCTTATCAAAAACCTCTCAGGAAAGTACTAGAAAGACATTCCCCCGAGGTGTGAATGACCAGTAACAGTTAGCAGTGCTCCTTCCTAGAGATTTTTGCACTTAAATAACAGACAAAGCCTGCGTGAAGGGGATGGACAAAATGGTAGCACTGGTGGGTTCCATAGTCCTTAGGGAAGCCTGGGAAGGGAGAAGGTATTCCTGGGCCCTGAAACTATGTGTTCCCAGCCGTATACTCCACTTACACAGAGCAGCCTTCCTGAACTAAGAATCGGGACAGGTGGCTGAAATTAATAACTCCAGGCAAGAACAACATCACTCCTCCATCCTCCCCCACAACGTCACTCCTCCATCCTCCCCCAGGATCATGGGGGAGGGGTACAGATACAAAGGCCAAATTTCATCCCCCAATACAAGGAACATTTCACCGCGCTTCCCGTTCCCCCAGGGACTGCAGCTGGAGTGACTACTTCCCAACTACCCTGGCAGCCCCCTCTGTCCCTTCCCTGTGGGTGCCCCACAGCTGGACCAGCAGAGACACCCTCCTAGCCCAGGAGACCTCATAGATACAATCCCAATGCCCAGGGACAAGCCCAGGTAAACGGGACCTCCTCAGTGTGTGTCCTGGGCTCTTCCTGTCTCACCATCCAATGCCCTTTCCCATCCCCAAGCCTAGTGGCATTATGCTGCCTCTCTCCCCACATCCAATGCTTCTCTCTGAAGAGACTTGGAAAACGTATTTATATTAAGGTTTAGAAGGCCACTGAGTCTTCCTATAGGACTCTTCCCAGAAGCACTTGCAGTTCACAAGGTGCAAGGCCTTAAGCAGGAGGCAGGAAGCTCTCCTGGGACTCACGGCCCTGGCGTTGCAGGGCCATCCAAGGCGCTCTTCTAAAGCATGCCAAGTGTGTTAGTTATCTCCTGCTGCAGAACAAATTACCACAAAGGTAGCCGCTTAAAACAACACCGTTTATTTCCTCGCAGTTCTGGAGGCCAGCAGTCTGGGCACAGCTCAGCTGGGTTCTCACCAGGCTGAAATCAAGGTGTCAGCTAGGACTGCAGGCCCATCTGCGGGTCGGGGTCCTCTTGCAAGCTCACTCCTGTTGGCAGATTTCAGCTCCTGGAGATCTAAGACTGAGGCCTCAATTACCAGAAGCTGCCTGCTGTTCTCTGCCACCTGGTCCCCTTCACAACGTGGTCGTTTGCTCCTTCAAGGCCAACAAGAGAGCCTCTGTGTGAGGCCTCACTGCCTGTAAAGGGTCCACCTGATTCATTCAGGCCACCCGGGATGACCTCCCTTTTGACTAACTCAATGTCAACTGATTGGTAACTTAATCGTAGTGGTGACACCCATCATATTCACTAGTCCCACCCACACTCCAGGGGAGGGGATTATATAGGCATGTCCACGGGGATCAGGCATCTCTGGGGCCCTCTTAGAATGCTGCCTGCCATACCAACTGGACAGTTGCCTGTGGGCTTTTATCTAGGTATGGCCTCATGTACCCAGGGGCCCCAGAGAAACACAGGTATCTGCCTCTGATGCCTTCTCCTCCTGCTTCTGCAGAAATCACACCAGAAGGAAGAGAGCATGGTAGCTCCTGAGGCCCAGAATCGGCCTTGGCAGGAAAGTCCTCCAAGGGGAAGAGTAGGGAGGGAGGGGAACTGACTGCTCACCTGCCTCCTTCTTGCCAGTTCCACCTCCCATTTACCCCTCCCCAAGCACCATGAGCAGCTGACCCCAGACAGGAATTCACATCTCCTTCCTCCCTGGCCTGCTCATAGGTCTAGGGAAACCCCTGGCCCAAGAGCTTCTCTTCAGATTATGAGATGCTACTGGCAATAGAGGGAAGGTGTGAAATCCCATTGCCTGAAGTGTTTCCAGAATGGTGAAAGGTCCACCCCCTGGCATGGTGTCATCCCACCTAGAGGCACAGGCTGGCTGAGATAACTGAGGAGACTTCTTCTACCAGCCAGTGTCCACGCTTCACCCAAGGAGAGAAGAAAAGCAGATTTTAAATTCCTGAGTCTGTTGCATCGGGTCCTCCACTGGACTGTGAGCCGCATGAAGGTAGACTTTGCCTGCCATGCTCACTGCTCTATCCCCAGTGCTTAGAGTCCATAGTAGATCGTCAATGAATATTTACTGAATAACTTAAAACCTTCCTAATCTGACCGTAACTTTTCTCTCCCGGGCTGATGATTTCACCCTCTCTGGCCTCCTTTGTAAGTTTACTTCATCCCCTAGTCTCTCCTACTTGCATTTCCAGCCTCTACCCTGGTTTTGACTCCTTTCCACCAGCCTACAGACCCTCCTTAATGTCCCAGGCTGAAACATGACCCTGCTTGACTCCCCTGCTCTGGGCCACTAGCCCAATCTCTGTATTTTTCCACCAAACCTATAGGAGGACCAGTCTGCCCGCTCTGCCTCAGTCCGTGAGCACGTGCCGAACCACTGGCCCGCCCCGGTCCGTGAGCACATGCCGAACCACTGGCCTGCCCCGTGTGCCCTGACTGCTTTTGCAGCTGCCTCCTGCTACCACCAGACTAATGAAATGACTCTCAGAAAGGTACTGATGACCTTCAATCACTAAATCCCATCCTCAGCCTTCCTCCCCATCCTTTCTGCAGCTTTGATACTTTATCACCTTGAAACTTGTCCTCCGCTCTCATGACCCAGTCTGTCTTGGATTTCCTGTCTCCATACAGCTCCTTGAGCCTATATTCTGACCACAAGGTCCCTAACCGTGCTAGTTACGAGTCATGTGTGTGCTCTCTTCCATTCTCCAGACGCACTTTAATGATTTTCCTGTGCATTTCTGGACGTCTTCCTTGACTTCTATGTTGGAAGTCTTTAGAGCAGCCCCCTGGTAGCTGATAACTAACAGCTGATGAAATGAGAACTAGCTCATGCAGAGCCTTCGTGGCAACTCTAAAGGTGTCCCGCGGGCTAATGTCTTCTCACCTCTTGTCTGAGAACCTCGTCCTCCATTGTAACTTCACTCTGATAGGTGGATGAGCAAGCCCATAGGGGAAATACCCAGTCCCAGATCTGCCTCTTCCCTGATGGTTGACCTTGGGCAAATTTCTTAACGTCTCTGAACCTCAGTTTTCTTATCTGTTAAATGAAGCTAATCCTGCTGACTCTGTAGCTTGTTGTGAGAATTAAATTATTTCCCGTAGCACCTGACACACAGTAGGTGCTCAATAACTGGTAGCAGTTTGATGTTGACAGTGATGATTCTGGGACTCTCAACTCTCCATCCCTGGACTCCATCCTAGACCTACATTTCCAAGAGCCCATCGTCTACCCCGGCTCACCCAAACCAGCTCTGGATGACGTCCTTATTCACCTAACAGCACCCTGGCTACAAGGCCATCCAGTTTGGGGACCTCGCTTTTGTCCCTGGGTCGGCCTTTGCCTTATCCTCTGCATTTGTCAGGCTGAAAGTCCTATAGCGCCCCCCGCATGCCTTTTGCAATCATCCTGAATTTTCCACCAGACTGTCACCGCGTGGGGCTCTCCTGGACCCCCCATTTGGACCACTCTGACAACCCCCCATCCACCTTGCACTATATTCCCCTGATCAGTATCCTCAGAGAGCGGGTGTAAACACAGGACTTCCGGTGCTTGAGACCATTGCCCTAAACAAGTGTAAACACCATCTCCTGGGGGTCTGGCGCTGAGCAGCCTGGCCCCGCCTACCCCCCCAGCCCCTCCTACTACGCGGAGTCCACACTCACGCGCCAGCCCCGCCTCCTGC